TAGTGTGAATTTAAAATTGCGGAGAATGAACTCACTTACTACTCTACAGAAATGTATTGAAAATAAAAATGAGCTCTTGCAGCAAATGTTTTAATTTGTTGGGCCATAACCTGTAGGGAGCATTGTGATTGTGACAGTAGGTCAGGTGACATGGTGAAAGAAATGGGGTGATGGACTGATCAAACAAACTGAACTTTCGCCTGGGAAAGTTTTGCAAAATCAATTAATTCCACCGTACATATTAATTTGCAAGAGTTTCATAGAGCAGTTTTGTTGATTTTAAATATGGGAGCACTGATCTTAGATGAGGAAAACAAGTTTTATTGGTACACTCCTATAAGAAAGCTGCGTACAAGTGACAGTGTCAGCAAAAAACAAACCAAATGATCTAGTAAAAGACACCACAGACGCATCGGATTTTATAATATCGCACTCTGGATCAGTATATGTATATGATCCCTTAAAATCTCTCAGTTATTTGCCGTAATCTGTGAGTTCCACCAAAATGACTTGAAGCCATTTGAAGCTGCACAGGTGAGCAGGCGCATTCATTTCACGGTGCTGCAAAGCAGAGCCGGTGTTTCATTTTTGTACAGAGATCTGTAAAACTTTTAAACACCTCCTTTGAAAGAATTGTTTTCTCTATAATGGGGTGAACAGAGCTGCGGCAACAACATGCAGGTGCATTAAACCACTGAAGAGTCTTTTTAAACAGTAAGGGATAAATGGCCTGCCCGTGCCTTCACGCTCTCTCTCCGTCATTTCCCCCTCTAATTTCCTCCTTTCCCACAGCTGCACGGTGCTGCATGCACAACAACAATGTTCAGAAGACGGCACCTCCTCCTTTACGCCAGCTGTTGCATATTTCATCACATCATCAGAGTCAGAGAGGAGAAGAAGGAGGTGCCAAAAAAAGAGACGAAATGAGGAAATATAGAAAAGAGCTCAGAGGAATAAGAGTGGAGTATTTGTCCTCGAGCATCATCCCCCCCCCCGCGCCTTGTGGACGCTGTGGCCGCCTGCTATGCGTCTGCTGCGGTGCCGTCCTCCTCTCCACAGTCTCGCAGCGCTGGTTCTGCCTGATAGGATGATTTGCCACTTCATTACTAATTGATAATCGCCGGAGAGAAACGCTAATTAGCCCAAGTGCTGAATGGTGCAGCTAGCATGCTGACATTTTCAGCTTCCCCATAATGACGCTATTGATGCTGGTGAAGCCGTCGCCTCCTCACACACTGTGCAAGACGGGGATGAAGCAAAAGAGATTGAGCCACAGATGGGGTGGCTTGGATTGGGGAGGTGGCGTTTATGAGGGAGAGCGAGAACTTGTCTGCAGGAAAGTCCTCGTGGCTTTACAATAAAATCACAGTGATGCGAACTGTCCTCCAGTCCCAATCTCAACTCTGTCAATGAGATTAACACTTGTTACTTGTTATGACAGGATATTTTCTGATTCATTTACATCGTACAGGTAATTCTAAAAGTTAACACTGATCTTCCTTGTAATCTTGTGATGCTTTGCACATTTGATGACAATTCCTCCATTCTTAGTTAGTTGTTAAACTTAGGTCATTGAAATAAATTACAACAAATTATTTTTTATTAACTGTAACTTAAGGCTAGACGTGTCGGACTTTCCAAATTATTTTTATTAAATTATATATATATATATAATATATAATATATATATATATAGTAGGGGTGTAACGATTCATTTTAACAACGATTCGATTCAAATCGCGATTCATGGTTGCCGATTCGATTCATGGACGATCTGGATTAATTTAGAACGATTCGATTCGGTTCGATTCAGTGACTTGAAATCGATTCAGTAACTTTACTGGACAGTGCAGGCAAAGTTTCTGAGATCCCTGTTGTTTCTTGTATGGAAATCAGGTTTAAATTAATGATGGATATTATAAACAAGCAAACAACAATTAATGGCAAATGTATTAACCTTTTATTTGAATCAAGTGCCATTTTCAATGTAAACATTACACAATAATTACACAATGTTTGGATCAATTCACAGAACCCTGGATTTTCAACCACATTGTAGGGTCGCATGTCTTTACAGATAAACTTGTTACTGTGATGTTGAGTTTGGTGCTGGCGAGGCCTGAGGGGTCTGCAGAGCTGAGTTACCTGCTGCTGCTGCAGCGGTGACGCTGCTAGAGGTCCTGACTGTCGGCGTCGTTTAATCCCACGGCGCCTCAGTAGACGGCCGGAAAGATTTGTCGTGTTTCCGTGTTTTTTTATTTGGCTTCTACATAAAATGTTTCCACACGCTGGATCGATAAGTTGGTTTGTAAATGTCTCGCTCGCAGTCGTCTCTTCCACGCTGTGTTTCGCGCAGCTGCTGCTGCGTACTGATGACGTCACAGACAGGCAGACTGAATCCAGTAATGTTTAACGTGTCTAAAGTGCTAAAAAACAAAAAAACAAACACACATCCATACCGTTTTTGTGCTTAAATCCAATGTGCAGTTACCAAGTATCGATACAAATCAATTATGTACCATTTCAATCGATTTGTAATCGATATGTGTCGTCCGGAATGCCGATTTGCGGAGCACAGATCGATTCAGTTGGATCGCAGGAATATAAAACGATTAATCGATTCAGTGGATGAATCGTTACACCCCTAATATATATATGTATATTGATTACAGATCCGATCGGACGGTGCACACTTACTTACACAGTAATCTTTTACTGGAATCCTTCAATTGTATTGCCTTCCTGGCTTTAATGCTAGATGACTTTAATGTAGATAAACCCTCTGACTACCTACAACCTTTAGGCATAAAGAACCAATCAGATCAGAAGTTACGGTTCTGTGTCCAATCACCTGTCAGGACTTGTTTGGCCCATTAGGTGCGAACACCTGCAAAATACACTTCCGAGCACCTCTGGGCTCCCTCTGCTCTTCTGGCAGCCGGCCTTCCACTGCCTGGAATCATTTTGTGTAATTGGTATTGACATAGTGTGACCGGGAGAGGATAAGCAAGAACGTTCTCCCGTCGTCCTCTGTAAAATTAACAGCTTGTGACGCGCTGGAGAACTCCGGAAGGGGTCACGATGACAGCTTCAGTCAAGAGGGCGACCAGTAGAGGACTCGCAAATGATCAGAGTTCTTTCCAGATGGAGGCTAATGCTGCTCTCTCTCACTGATCAGGATTACACACATAAAGATATCGGCCACGGTGTCTGACAGCTCAAACATCCTCAACATAATATACTTCTTCCCTGTAAGCAACCACCTGCTCAAATAGGAAAGGTTGCCCCAAACTTTTTGTGTCATGGTCCGGTTTCCAGTAAAAAAAATGGTTTCACTGCACAGAGTTTAAGGTGTAGGGCAGGTGGGGGCAAACTTTTTGGCTCAGGGGCCACATTGACTTTTAAACTTGACAGACGGGCCGGCCGGTATCAGATGGATAGAGAGTGTTTATGTCAACCAATATAAATTATAAGTAAAAGCCAATAACTAAAAAGTAAAGTGAACTTACATTTTTACATTACATTGCATTTCAGTGGGAACTGAGTGTTGTTGGTCCCCCTTTTTTGCCAGTGCATGATAGTTTGGTGTCAACTTTGTTGTGGGAATTCTCAGGACAGATCTGAAGTGTTCATCCGTTAACTGGGATCTGTGGCGTGATTTGTTGGTTTCCATCCCGCTGAACGTCTGCTCGACCACTAGCAAACTTGGGCTTCGCTTGGTGAAGCATAGAATTCAGCCAGGTTAAGGGGGTTGAACTTCTCCTTTAAGACGGCGTCACATTGAAGATCAATGAGTTCCAATTCCAAGTCAACTTGGCTTTGAAGGCTCTCACTCTCTCGTTTGTGTACACTTTCATGCACAAACTGATCTTTCCCTTGCAGCTTCATGTTCAGGTCATTGTGTCAGTATGGTCACAGCAAAAGCAAATTCACAAAGCCAATCTGCGTCGCTCAGCTTTGGAAAACCATCAGCTTTCCGGATTGTTATATTGTTGTATTATATATAAATATTCGTTTTTGCCGCATAAAACGGACCATGTCTTCGTGGCGCGCTTGCCTGTGTGGGGGGGGAAGGTGAGCAGCGCAGACAGCAGCAGCCTGATGCGGTGCAGAAAGCGCGGCACCGCTGTCCTCTGCCGCACGGCACGTAAAGACCGCTGCAACGCTTCTCCGTTCCCGACTTGAGTTAAGTAAGATCGATGCTGGTCTTGCCGTCATCGTGCTTTGGGAAACTCAAGTCGGGAACGGACAAGTGTTACAGGGGCCGTTACCATAATTTATAATTCATAATACTCGGCGGGCCAGATCAGAACGCCCAACGCCGGGGGCCGGGCCCGCGGGCCGTAGTTTACCCACCCTACACTGTAGGGAATACATATTAAAAAATAAAAAGATAAAACCCGCATAAAAACGAGACTGAGGGTAATGGGAGACAATGACAGCCAAAGTAGTAGTAGAAAAGTGATTGTCCACCAGCTGGGCAAATCAAGTCCTTTCCCAAATCCATGCTAACGTTTGAAACATTTTCTCTTTCAAAGAAGCTCTCCTGACCGTTTTACCAACTCCAGCCAGCCCGTGAGCCTGAATTTGATAGTTTTAGTGTCTAATATTGCCAAGGAGCGGTTTATACATCCCAGAATGTCTCATATAGGCATGATGGGAGTCCCTAAACATCCTTTGTCTCTCGAAGAATGAGACACAAGGGGGACGGGGGACACAACAGAGACATCTCTCCAGCACGTTGAGGCCATGGATGAAGAATCAACTGGAGGCTGTTTTCATAGGACAAATAAGTTTGCACTTTAACACCACATGGAAAGTGGTGTTAAACCAAAAAGAGTTCAACCAAATCCTGAGCCAATTTTTTTTCTTTTTTTTAAACGACGTACAATAATTTTTAACATTTTAAATGTTTAGATTGATTTGATGCATGTAAATGGTCTGTGTCAGAATATGCAGTAACTTTTAACTTTGCAGTAACTTAGGTAACTTTTATCTACCTTTCATCTCTCCCATGTCCAGAGTCTTCCCCAACTGCTCCAGCAGATCCGCTCTAGCAGCATTTTTCTTGTGCTTTTTTCCATCATAATGTTGCTGAGCCATTCCAGGGTTGTTGAACCAGGCGTTACATAGCTGACAGTAGCGGTCTGAGTCGCGGCGCTGTCGCGGGGAGGTCATGGGAGACGTTTCTGGGGAGCTCTTTACAGGACTGGGAGATGCCTCTGAAAGTAGAACAGAAATACAACGTTTAATTGAGTGTCTGTAAGAACTTTTACTGGTTCTGAAGGAAACATGAGTGACTTGTGTCTTTTTTCAACAAGTGCAAACGATTTACTAAATCCTTTTTACCTCGGACCATCTTAAAGAAACATTTACTGAATATCATTTTATTCAATATAAAATTAATAAATAAATGACTAAATAAACATGCATGAAATAAATGCACAAATAAATTATTTATACTTGAATTGTTACTTGGTCCATAAATATGAGAAAATCAGGTATGTTTTTAAATGTAACAGATAAATAAAAAGAGTGCTTCAAATAAATGAGTTATTGTGTCCCACAAAACATACAAAAGCATTCATTTTAAATTAACTTAATATTCATATAGTATTCATACATTTCCAACTGAACTCTCTATGCAGGAAAAATGCCATTAAAATAAAATACTTTCACAGCTTACTACTTACTATAAAATAATAAGTGTTGTGTTTCAGTGAGTGCAGGCTGCTAATGACATGCAAAAAATACATGCTGACTTTTTGAAACCGTAGATTTGTAGCAACAACATGTAAGGGCTTTAATGAGCGATGATCAGCAGCAATGGTTCTGCTGCCCCCTGAATAACAAGTCCTTATCTCCAGTAAACGCATGAAGAGGAAAACCTAAATTCTACTTGGCAAATGGATTAAAGAGCCGACTCTCCTCGTGGCTGCCCACTTGCGGCGTCGTTCATGGCTGACGCCATTAATCCGGAATGGGCGCAGTGAGCGCAATCAATTTAGTCAGTTTTAACACTTGACTGCTCGGTGGACTAAGACAAAATTTAGTGCTGTTCCATTACGTTCCATTACACCAGTCAACATTTCAAAGTGGCAACTGGAGTGAAAAACATCGTGTAGATGGAATGACTACAACCGTAACTGTCAGCACATTACTTTCCGTGAGTTCACAGCTGAACCACATTCAGAGCAGTTTGATTTAGCTGCATGTTTTCCGTTGCCAGTGCTTGGCTATTATGTCGGATTTGAATCTGGGACCTCTTCAAATAATAGGCCAGTGTCAACCGTCAGATTTAATTTAAGCCCCGTAGTACTCTTTGCAAGGAGGTCGGATCCAGAATGAAAGCCAATGGGCTGTTTTCGGATGTAATGTCTTGCTAAGAGAAAAGCAGATTGGGTTGTAAGCCACTAAAGGGCTCTGGCTAGCCGTCCTGCAGCCGGCCTACCCGCTGCGCCTCAGGATGACGGAGCTCCAACTGCCCTTTTGCTGCTCAGTTGACATAATGCATATGGACGAGAAGGTCTAATTCCATCAGGGCTGCTCCTTTCTCCGATATAGGAGACAAAAACTGAAAAAACAGCCCTCTGGAAATCTAAAAGAAGGTAAAATATTGACTATTTCTGGAGAAGAAATATTATTTCCTAATAACATGCTGACTTTATAGTGTACTTTCCGTTTGCTGCTATTCGATATCATTATTAGAAGTGCCATTGTTTCTAATTTCTATAAGTTGTGCACCATTGTTTCCTTGTCTCCTTGATCGTCCTTCCTTTTATCTTGGTGTGTGGATTCAATGCATCTCGAGAAGAGAAGGCTGAGGAGCTACGAGTGAGGATGCACAGCCGTATCGGTATTTTTAACACTTGGAACTGATATAAGAGGCATGACTTATTCAAAAACCAATGAAAGACGTGTACACCTGTTGTTAATCATTGTCTCCGTTGCTAATATTTTGATCAGACAATGAAAAAAGACACGCCATCTTGTATTGTTCTTCATAGTTCACTTCATAGGTCACCAGGGAAGATGGGACATGTGGAATATTATAGGATGTTTATATCAAAGATTGAAGAGAAAAAATAGGAAGCAAGCGTGATAAACTAAAGTAAGGAGAATATGTTTACACTCAGGAATTAAAGGGTAATGATTACAGGGCCTTAGCATAGCTCATTTATCATCATCAGTGTGACCTCGCCGTACAGTATCCTCCTCCAGCGGCGCGTAATCACACTGATTCAATATTCTTTACGACGGAGTTCCGGCCATTTGTCTCCCGGCCCAGCAGTTTTATGTGTTTACGTTCAAGGTGACAGACTCCTCATTCATATCATGCCATCTTTTTGCACGGTGGCTCTCCAGTCTCGTAGATAAACCCGGCAGCCACATAAAAGGAACAAAACCCCCTTTTTCCTCCCATTTAGTGAGCGTCATTAGAGCCATACTGTTCAACACCTCCTTTGATTGAGGGTTGAGCTCGGCTCAGAGGGCGGGACTCACTGCCATCGCCGGGAGGCAGATGGCGTCGCCTCGGTGTGGCACCTGCTGGATGAGGGCACTTGGAAATGAAAAAGCCCTCGCTTCTCCATATTGTAGGTTTGAATGTCGACGAGAGAAACAATTGCCTTCATTTGCTGCACGGACATGAATACATGAGCTGCTAAGCAGGCGCCTGAAAACACTGCAGAGGAATCCAGCTGTATCCTGGAGCGATCCAATTTTTTTTGACAGTGATGTCTGAGAAGAACATTTTTTTGGGGGGGGAATCATCGGTACACCAGGGCATGAATCATCCTGGCCTGATGGTCTTGATTTATCATCATCAAGTCGTGGAGGCAGTACACATGCCACATTCTGTAATGGAAGCATTGTAGCTGGTTAGTCACACAAACATACAGCATCAGCTTATTGGCCTGGTGGGTTTTGCTCTGCAGACGGAAGTCTGTGATTCTGATTCTGATTTTTCATTCCTGTCCTTAAGGGGACAGAGTCTCTGAGGTGGAAATAATCAGATTCACGTCACTCTGTCTTTGTACGCAGGGACGTGCTTACAGCTCTCGCTGAATGAGAAGCTTACATTTCAATCAGCCTATTTACATGAACGGCCTTATTTTCACAATACAATTTTAATGCAAATGTGTTTCACGGCCGAGCAGCTTTTGTTTGTGCTGCAGAATTAAGACAAATGAAGCTTCAGTCAAAGTTCAGTCAGAAAGACAAGCTTTGTAACCCTGTTCATTGATCAGGGTTTTGTATCTTCTCCCTGTGGTTACTCCACCAGTTTACTGGGGGGCGCGTTTGATGAGCCAACCACACCTTCACACCGTTTCCTTGAGCCAAACTAAAAACTGTGCTCCTCTCTGCTGCTGCCCGTCTGTAATTCTGCAATTTCATTTGAAGATGTAGTTTATCATTGACCAATCTAGTAATACAAGTAACAATACATTAGTAATCAGATCTAGTGCTTGAGGAATTGAATGTATTATACATATTTTGCATTGTTGTCTGTACACATGACATCCATCGTCGTCTGTCCATCCCGGGAGATGGATCCTCCTCTGACCTTCTCCCTGAGGTTTCTTCCCCGTTTTCCCCATGGAAGGGTTTTTCATTTATTTGTGTTTTTCCTGATGTGTGGATGTGAGGGTTTTGGGACAGAATCGCAAATTTGTAATTTGCGATTTTGGGCTATACAAAACAAAATGAATTGAAAAGCTAACATATGCCCCTCAAAGCCTACAATAAATGTCTCATGTGCCACATGGATGCATTGACTACCTGCCCTACATTCCCTCCTTACACGGCATTTGTATGCAGACAGAGAAGCACTACAAGGTAGACCTATTTAGCTGGAACAAGGTTAGACATCTAAGGAGATTTAGTGAGGAGAGGAGATCGAAGTACTCTTGTCCATGGCTTATCTACCATGGTGCCACTCCTCGACCTCTCCTTGGCCCACAGAACCAGTCAAAATATCAAATCAAATTATTTTCTCATATTGTTATTTAGCTTCCAAGGAAGAATCTCAAGCTGTCTATATAAAGCGAAAGGTCATTTGCATCCAGCTGCAATCTGAACCAAGTCAACCAAGTTCTCAAAATGTGTGACCATGTGAGTGTATAAATTATATGTAATGAAGTTATTAAAAATAAAAATAGATATAGATATATAATATATATCTATATTGTCCTTCAACTAGTGGCGATCTGTCGACAGCTGATGGTCATGATATTTATTTGGATGGCTTCTCTCCCATCGACCTTGATCAACTGACAATTTTAAGTCCGAACCTTCTCGCTGTCTGTTTCCGACTAGGCTGCTTGAACACGTTTTACCTTTAGTTTGCACATCTTTGCTGGATATTCTGAATCAGTCTTTGTTGAGGGGACATGTACCACAGTCCTTCCAGATGGCTGCAATTAAACCTTTTCTTAAGAATCCTACTCTTGATTCAGAGGTGTCGGCTAACTATGGACCTATCTAATCTAACCTTCCTCTTTAAGATCCTTGAGAAATCAGTTGTGTGAATTTCTACATAACAATATGCATGTTGGCCCAGTACACAAAGTGCAGCTAAGGCTGATAGTTTTATCATTAGCTTGGCAGGTATTTTATCATTATCAATCCTAAAAGTGGCTCAATGAAAAGTTAGGAGAACAGTGTAGATATTACAGTTGATCCTGAAATGATCACGACTTCCTGCGACACACACAGATGTTTGTCTGGACCAGTGGACCAAGTGGCTGAGATTGCGCATCTGTGATGGACCACCGCTGGTGAAGCTAAAAAGACACTTTTTGATTTGAAAAATGCTCATTGGTCAATGGAGCTGTGAGGGTTGATGCATTTTCTTTCATTGTACATCTTATCATGATTAATCCATGTCAACAGATTGACACTTAGTTATACATGAAGAAAGAGCCACGGACATGTTCACTTTAGTCCCTTCCCAGTAAATCAGTGCAGGGACACATTGAGCAGCAGATGTTAAAGGAAGTGACATTCATGGCAGCTATTGCGCTCACGGCACGAAAAATTGGAAAAGTGCCAGAATTCGGAGACAGTTCTTATTGAAACCATGTGGAGGAATATAAAAATACATTGGGCTGTGATTAGATGAAAATACTAATGACAAATTAACATTTATTCAACCTCTTGAGCTGAAATATAGTCTGGATAGTAATTAAAACCTATCAAAAAAACTGGCAACTGATATTCAATTAAATATGCATGCAGATCAGCATGTATATATGGATATATGGGTCTGTGAAAATATTCAAATGAATGATTGAAAAGGCAACCAAGGATAATGTGGTGGCTTACAGAGGCTATGGGTAATACAGTAGCTGAGGATACAGCCTGCGAGAAAAACATGAAATATTTATTTGTCGGATAAAATAATTGCGTGTTAAGAAAGAGAATTTTAAATTCAAATAAAAATTGTGATTGCAGATTGGCAATTGAGCATTTTTTTAAATGTTTATCATGGGTTTTAATTTAGGGTCATGAACCCTAAAGTAATGATAAAGACTATTTTTCCAAAGGGGAAAAAGGCTTAAGTCGACATTATGAGACTCTCCCATGACAACAGAGGTGCTTTATATTCTCATGAGTGTTTATTGATGGTATTTTCAAATAGCATCACATGAATGAATGAATGTTTGGGGTGAAAGAAGGGGGAAAATGCTCTGAAAGCTACGGATTGCAGCTGAATACCGGCTGACAGCAAGCTGGAGGAACAGAGCGGTCCCTATAGGCCCGCTGATCAACACAGGAATCTGGCCAGTCTGCTGATGTACTTATGAAGAAATCAATAGATGGGCCTCCCGGTGCCCTGGGTTTATCTTCCTGACATGTACTATTTGTGACAGATCTGGGTGCCTGTATCGTAGAGGTGCTTTAAATTAATGTTCAGAGGGAAAAACAACACCAAAGCATGCTTGTTCTGACCTCTTTAACCCACTTTCAACTGCGGTATGGGTTGCTTGCACAAAAGAATGGAGCTGCTGTAAATGTATGGTGTTTTTCATAATAACTGTACTGTACAGTTAAATGTTCATACCGTGCATGTAAATTAACAGCATAAAACAGAACTTTACATGAAGAAGTGAAGTTCAGCACCCATGTTGAACTGTCTATTTGTAATTTAAAGTGTCTGTGACAACAAGATACGTAAAATATTCACACTGCCCGTTGCCTACCAATCATTGTAGAGTGAAAAGTTGTGACTGACTTCACTTCGTCTTCTTTCTGTTGTAAAAGGTCATATAATGTTGGTCCGTTTCATTACATTACTTTTAAAGAAAGCTCTGTAACTAATACTCCATTGGCTCTAGTAATACTATGATGAATGTAGTCGTGATACACACTAGTGAAAAGGTTTACAGTTACATAAACAGAGCTGGGCAATTCCCCATGTATCTAATATTCAAGCAATAAGGTACGAGAGGCTGTACTTTATCGTCCAATAATGTAACAGTTCGGGGGTGTTGTTAGCTGTTGAGAATAAGTAACAAATTGAGTGGTTATATTATATTATATTATTCATTTTGGATACTTCTCTTGTTCCAAACAGGCAAAACCAGAGCAGAGAGAGATTAATGCGAACGCAGGAATACATGAGCACGGAGCCCACAGATGGATCACAGGCTGTAAACGCAGCACAGGAAGCAGAATCAGGAGGATATTGCTGCAGCACTTTAGGTCAAGACAATCGAGCAGACTGCAAACTAGGTCCGGAGTACAGAGCTCATGAATTCTTGCCAACTGAATTGTGTTTTCTTTCAATCCAGGTGCACTACGGAAGGTTTTCCTTCAGTAGTGCAATATTAGGTGCAAATACAGTCTGAAGTAGCTCTGCAGACTTCCCCCGTTATGTTCTACTTCCTACATCATTCTGATGCTGCTAAAGTGAAAAGAATCATTTTTCTTCTCCACGAAATATTTCAAAAGATCTGTTTACCAAACACCAAATCAAGCACAAGAGCTTTGTGTCCCCTGTGACCTTTGCTCATTATTCTCACACAACGGCCAATTTGTAAGAACATTGCAGGTGAGCAGCTGTCAGTGGATTACAACAGCCAGAAGAACCTCCATCGCCCCGGAGATAAAAAGCAGTCGGTGATTAAATCTAAATAACGCACGGATGGATGATCACAGAAAAAGCTTGTGAGCTTGTTGTATTGCTGCTAGTGAGTTGTAATTGGTGCCAGAATAGTTTACAGACATCATAGAGCAGCAGGGGCCCAACTCTTGTGGCCCTTTAGGGGCTGAAACTGAAAGTTAATAGTGATGCACTGAAAGCAAACACCTAATGTCTTTTATAGCATCGACACCAAGGTGCTTTAAATGAATAAATTTAATTAAAAACTGCTCGTCAATTGTAGCTGTCAGGATAAAGTTTTACCATGTATTGTGTCCACAATCTTAGTTTGTAGTGTAGCATGTTAACATGCTAACATTTGCGTATATAGACTAAACACAATGTACACCTGAGGGTGATGTAAATTTTGAAGGTATATGGTCATAAACAAACAGCAGCTATAAAGCTGAGGCACTGCAGGATTCGTCCTGTGGGGACTATGACTGAACTTTATTGTTCACACACATTATAATGAATACAATAATGAATATTCTGGGGACAACGAATATCTGAACAAAATATCATCTAAATCAAGCCAATCATTGGTATAATACAATCTGACCAACCACTGCATCATCATCATCATCATCATCATCATCATCAACACTGATGCTATATACGTCATTGTGCAAGATGCCTCCCATTAAACAACAAAAACTATAATCTAACACATGGGTCTGTTCTCATTTCCTTATGGGATCATTCTGTCTCGTGGGCATCTGAGGAAAATGTACAGCAATCAAATTTCAAGGTGAGCTCAAAGGTAACAGAGGAGGGTGGGGAGTGTGTGGGCACAGAGTTAAAGTGGATCGGAGACAGATTTTATTTATAACTGGCCATCCAGAAGTATTCTCCTAATGGGAGCGACAAACTAATGTCATGTAATGGCCACAAGTATCCCGCTTTGTGGCGCTTGTTTGTTATTCCTCGTGCTCACTAAACAGGGTCGATGGAATACAGAGAGGTCAGGTGATTTAACAAAATGATCAAAAGAGACATACTGTGTATTGAGGTTGTATTTACCTCTGCTTTGTACTTGTTATGCAACAACATTGTGCAAGCGCAATGTGGAGGAACCATTTAAGGGAGTGAATTTAAATACTGTACTTATGCCAAAATGTACTTGTGCAAAAACACAGCAGACAGAAAGTTTACAGAAGAAGCCGAGTTAAAAGAAGAACAATTAACGGCCCTGCTGGTGATCCTGACTCGCACATCCACCCTGTGTGGATGTGATGTTTCAGAGCAGTGAAACAAAACGGTGCAACCATTCACTAATGTATCCACTGGGTAATATATCAGAAACAAACTGTTTAATGTTAAGACTCCTGCTCAGACGGTGGGCGAGATGTGAGACGCGTGCTCCGTCCGTACGGACACGCGCAATGATTTTTAATCTGCTGCGAGGTTCCGCTCCACTCCGACACCTTTGCATTGTCAACACCTCCGGCGTCCTGCGTCTCATTCTTTACTTATGTTTTCCCTTAATAATAGATCCCTGTTGGACGGATGTAGTGTAGCTCTTGTATAATTTAGGCCAACAATGCATTTTCAACAGGGGCTGTACCTTTGGTCGTGATGGCCGGCTGCTCCCCAAGTAGCAGTTTTAGTCTCTTGGCGTGGATTTTACCCTGGTAGTGTGACTGTGCCACCACTGCTGAGGTGAAGGACATGTTACACAGCGTGCAGCACTTGTTCTTGTCCACGTCGCCCTGGTCGCCACCCTAAAAAACACACAGTAAGATTTTGTCATTCGTACGTCATAGAATCCTATGTAAGGTTCATTTATCTTTGCGGTCCTGAGACCCTGGCGGGATGCAAATGGAGTCGACGGTTTTAAAAACTGATGGCGGGGATGATACAGCTGATGGAGGACTGCACTCGGAGCTTCCATCTGCGCCAGCTGCAACAACAACCCCGAAGAGCATGTGAAGGACGCAGGGCAGCCCGCCGCGCCCCGAGAGAGACGGATGCTAGCGTTTTTACCGGGGTAAAGAAAGAGAGGAACAAGGACCCAAACAGTCATCCTCCTGCGTCGACGACGGGCTGAAATATTCAGAGAGGGCCGGAGCCTTATGCTCTCATATGTGTGCATATTTGGTCAGTTGAAATTCAATCCTTTTCAATCACGGCCACTAAATTGGGACATGTTAGCATTATAGCTGTCTCTGCCCAAATTTGAGGGTGGAGATTGACCACCAAGGTGCTGAGTTTATCTATTGAGTCTCGAGAGTCCAAACAGGGATCTAGACGTCGATTCCATTCAAAATAGTGAACTGCGTGCATGTAAAGCAGCAACGTGCATCTCAGATCAATTTTGCGTTAGCGAACGCTAACAAGGACACTGTGGTTTAGATGTTCCACTAATGACGACTTCTACGGACTTAGTTATTGGCATTTGAAAAGTCTTCAATGCAACTTCCCCCGAAACCTTTGTTGGCAGGCCGAGGTACTATCGCCGACTACTCCAAAAGCTCCAACCAACGTGTCGACCGACATGTAGGGGACAGAAAGAAGATGCCGGTACCGACAACCACGTTCTGCAGCTGTCTGTCACTATATTCAAGTGTCTCTCCATGAGTGAACTCTTAATGATTTTTCAGAGGACTGTGGCTTCACCTTCCTTGCAGATTGATTGCTGGACAGATCTCATATTATGCTATCATCAAAAATTGGCACTAGCTCCTGTAAACACCCAAATGTTGGTGGTTCCTATATTTTTGTTTCCTGTATTCATTTTTAGTTTCATCTGACGTATGTTTTTTATAGCTTACATTTGAATTGCCCTTCATCACATTTTGTCCTTATTGATAAATCAACCGACTTTAAGATCTTATATCATATCTCACCCGTTGTTAAGAATCATTATTCATTATTTAGGTCACATCCAACCAGGGGAATGCAATCGTGTTGAAATATGTCTCCCCCCAAGGACCCTCGACAGTAGCGCCATCGGGAATTGATTTATGACTCCGGCAGTTGTCTATTCTGACCGTCTCATCACTGTGGCGCAGCTGTATTTCACACATTGCACAAAAAAAAAAAAAAGTACGAGTACGGTCCTTTGAGGACATTGGCTTGTGCAGAGAAGTTTGAGAGTCAGTTTGTGAGAATGTTCTTAATGGGAATGCCGGGGGCAAAAAAATCTCTCACTGAGAATATGATGGTTCGGAAATATGGGCCGAAACCTTAAAAATATATTTCACTTCAATTTCTTGACAGTGTCCACAGGTTTGTAAACGTCTGTAAATGCAACTTGTACTCAAATCGCCACTCGGCAAACAAAGCAGTGCACATGTGTTACAGTCCGTTTTGAATTGAAAACGTTATTTGCAGCAAACTCGGATCTGCTGCAGATCCCCGCTGTGTGTGTGTGTGTGTGTGTGTGTGTGTGTGTGTGAGCATGCATGTGGGGCTGAGAAGACAAAGACCCAGTTGTTCCTCCCACTGTGTGATAAGAGCAGAACACTGCTGCGCTGTGACTCATCCTGACACACACACACACACACACACACACACACACACGCACACACACACAGCCCCAGTTTCGTCCTTGGCCTTGTCCTTCCCTGAGACACATGTGTACAAGCACGCTCTTCCTTCAGCTGGTAGCGGCAGAAGCGGACGGATCCACGAATTCACGGTTAATTAAAACTGGATGAGGGAGGAATTAATTGCAGGGAAATGAAGTTAGTGAAGCGGTATGTGGGTGTTGTTTTTGCGAGAATGTCAATCACAGTGTAATATACAGACCAGGCAGCCAGGTTTGATCAGTGTTCTGTGTTTTGGGCGGATGCAGCACATGCGACAGTGTAATACATTATGTGAAATGATTAGGCAGCTGAAGGAATTTTCGACATGCTCAGCAACTTAGTTTTTAAAATATACATTTTTCTCCTCGCCTTTAGGTGACAGAAAACCCATGAGTCATCGGAAACACAACATATCCAATCCCGGCCATATTTCAGCAGTCATGTATGGTGTGCTTCAATTTCCTTTCTTTTTTTAGCGCGTAATCATAACCCAGCAGTGAGAAATAATTGGAGTTCTGCATTGGCACAATACAGTGCTGTGCTGCACTTCTCTGCAAGCGTAACTGATGGAGGCAGAGAAACGGATCGAGGGAGGCAGCGAGAGGTTACATTTAGGCGGTAGAGCGAGAGAGGGGAGCGGTCTCCCTCACTCCCATTCATGTGAGGAATAATAAAATAATCTTTTTGATTTGCAAGCAGTAAATTCTCTTTGCTGTCAGCGTCGTGCGGCACACTTTCATCGCGCCCTAAGTGAAGCGCCGCGTCCTTGGCGGCTCGTATTCGTGGCGTAACACGCGGGCGGTGTGCCGTCTGACTGTTTTTCTTTGCACTCTGCATCCCAAACGCCAGAGCGTCAACACGCCAGGGCTCACAGAGACTCCATCTAGGATGCAAACATTTATTTGTAGCGCCAGAGTCCACAAGCAGCGCTGTTTGAGGCAATAACACCAGTTGGCCTCCACAGGATTGGCCTGTCCCTGGCCCGGCTTAGCGTCGCATAATGGATGGGAATGAATCTGGAGGTTGGGGAACTACCACTACTCATGTACGTCTCCCTTAAGGCGCGTGTAGAAGAAAAATAGGACAAAAAAAAAAGAAAAGGAATCGCTGCCAACAAAGCTGTGGACATTGCAGTCTATTGGTGCCAAGGGGAGCAGAGGGGACGACCGCTGGTCTGAGCTGCTGCTGCGCAAACAAAGACGTGACCTTCCAACGGAACGGCAGGCGGCACCAAAAGGGACAGTAAATAAACGGCTCCTGGTGCCAAGAGAGCGAGTCACAACGCCAGCAACGGTGTTGGAATCCCACGAGCACGCGACCTCTTGAGGGACACGTATGACTGGAATCACAAACGCCGATCACGGGGGGAACGCCCGCAACGCCAAGCAGGCTTGCTATTGGTCAGGGGCGCAAATTCAAGTTTGTTGAAGTTGGAGTTGACTCAACACAACATATCCAGTCCCAGCCATGTATAATAATGTATGAGTGTGAATTATTCCCAAACACTTGATGTATCACTAAAGCTGAACACCCACCAGAGGAAAAAAGAGATTAGGAGAATACAAAAAATGAATGAGGCCCATTGATTGAAATATTCCTTCTTAATTCAAAATTTGCCACCTTCTCTTTTCACAAGGTCAAACGAGTCCCTGCTCATTCTTATCTTCCCTGTGTAACATAATTGTGAACAGCGGGTTCACACCACGTATGACCCAGCAGAGGGACTCTGAGGATAGTCAGATCCGTTACACCAACTCAGCAGAACGTACAGCTGCTCCGGCTGCGCATTCAGCGCTTTTAATGAACCATACGAGGCTTACACGTTTACCCAAATTAGATTTCCTCCGTTGGAATCGTGCCTAAACTTGATGATGAGGTCCAGACAGTTTCCTAAATACGTTGTGTTAATGACTTAGATGACATATAGGGCAAACCTGTAAACTTCGGACGTTTTACCTCACATTTCATCAGGCTAAATCCCACGTCTGGGGCTGCACTATTCTCAGAATCACCTACATTGAAATCCAATAAATTAAATGAAAATGTTTTTGCTTTCTGTGGCCGTTGTTATGCGTCGTTATCGTTAGATCTGTGCGGTCTATCGGGGCTCCTTCCTTCACCCTGCCGGGGTTTTGCTTTCTGCAGGGTTTTGTTGAATTCCAGCCCGTTAAAGAAAGGCCTTCTGGCCTCTCAATGCAGCGATTCAAATTCATCTTCTTTTTGAAGCTCAGAGGATATTTAAAATGTGAATCCGATTAGGAAGAGGAATGGAGGCATGCAGTCCAGGTTGCCCACTGAAAGGAGCAGTGAAAAGCGTCGGGGGCTACCTTCTTCCCCTCAGATCATTTTTCAAACTGAAGTAGATTGACACCTCGGTTCTCTGGAAACATTTGATGGAATAACTAACACTGAGTTCCCTCAGTGATTATTAAGCTTTGTGGAATGTGGAGTGTGTGTGTATTCATCCGTTTGTGCTGAGCCTTGACTGCTCTGTTTTGATGTGTCACATACATACAGATGCGATTCAGAGTGCCGTTATCAGACATGATTGAGCACACAAAAGGTGGACATGACGCATAATATTCCCAGTTGCCCGATTATTTTTGTGAAATGTACTCATTCGCAACCCCCGGGTTACATTTGTTGCCATTTCTGAACTATAAATGCTTCCTAAATACCTCTCGTATCAGTTCCATGTCACGCTCGCAGACACACGGTTAACGTTGTAAAACAATTGGTTCGGTTCAGGAAACCGAAATGTACAAAATAACAAAAACTGTGGGTGTCTTTGTTTCTTTTTTCAGATTAACCTGACACAACACTCAACCTGTCGCAGCAGGTACATGCTGCGACAGACCGTGCTGTACGTTTTGCACATGTGTTACCTCCATCTGCTACAGTAGAACAGGTGTTGAACATGTATCATGGGCAAGTTTGAGTACTGGAGAGAATGGCTGAATACTCTGCATGGTACAGCTATCTTTAGATGGGCATCAAGCTGTTTTGGTGGGTACTTTTGCTGTATGCAACATGCACACCAATGAATGTCCTCGACTGTACAGGTACTCAAATATTTCTACATGCATGTTCTTAAAATGTTGGTAAATGCATTTGAAAGTGTAAAAAGTTACTAATGCTTTGCAGTGAAACTCCATTATGTTTTCTCACAACAATACATGGTTGTTTTTGCC